GAAGACTTGCACTCAACTCTGACTCCCGTGTCTTCCTCGCTCCCCTTTCCCCTTTTTTCTCCCTTTTCCCCTTTTTTAGGAATCTCTACTCACCCAGGCCTTCCCACCTTAGGGTCCTGCCTGTCCTGCCTCCAGACACCTCAATAGTTGGAGCTAGTGTCCGACAGAGAGCTGACCCACAGGGCACAGCAGACCTCTCCTGTCTTGACTGCTGCTCCCCTATTAGTGTATTTGTCAGTCTGCCTTTTCTGCTCCCCACTCTGTCTCTGATGGATCCTCTCTCCCCCTCCCCACCTCTGGCTTACACCCCAGCTCTTCTATGCATAAATAAGTAAATCTTTAAAAATTTGTTTTATTATGTTAATAAGTATTGCTCACAAATGAAGTTTCAGTGCTTACCACAAATTGGGAATTTGTTGGGCACAGATTTAGCAAATGTTTAAACTGTAGACATTCTGGGAGACTTTACTTAATGAATTTGCACTGTGAAATGAAAATGAAATGAAATGAAAATATTGTTATTTATCTCAGTGTTTTTTTTTAAATTTGCATCATGATTTTCACTTATTCTACTTGTGTAAACAAATTGTATAAATCTTATTTCCACTTGTTTACTAATTTTTCTTCCCCATCAAACTATAAATTCTATCAGGTAAGTTTATCTGTTTTTCATCATTATTTCCATATATGGCAGGGAATAGCACAGAAGCTCAATAAGTTCTTTTATGGTGAATGAATTACTAGAGGGAGCATCTGGAGAGATTTGAAATTAAAGTTACACACTTTGGGAACTACCACCCTAGTTATTCAATTGTATAATAATTTCAAAGAAAAAATGATGTTAACACCTTGAGGCCACTAGAGATCCATTTAATAAATTATTGCTGTGCTTCAGTGGAATCAATTACTACTTCAGGGAACTGAAGAGATTTCTCAGAGAGCACGTCATGACCTGGAAAATCTTGCGAAATGTTTTTATACTTTGAACCCCAACTGAAAAACAATAGTAAAAATCACAATTATCATGGAATGAGTTTAAAGGAATCATTTGTTGCTGCATCAACACTCACATCTTTTTTAGAACACTTTTAGTGACACAAGATTTTCCATTAAGGACATTTGCTTTCTTTTAGTAGTTCAAGTATGAAAAACAATACTTCTGGAAACTGCACATTATTGACTTACTGATTCTCTTTTAGAATAAGTGATTTAGCACATTTCTTTTCTGAGGGGATAGCCAAAATCATGTTGAATCGTTATTTAAAAATATTTGGTTTTTTTTGGTGGCGCAATGGGTTAGAATACAGCACTGCAAGCTGGCTGCAGCCACTTAAGTGCGAGTTCGATCCCTGGTCCCAGAGGTGACCCACATGGCTTGGCAGACCTTTCCTGCCACTCCCCTCAGCAGTGTATTTCGTCCATCTGCCTGTTCTGCATGAATAAATAATTTCTTTTTTAAATTTTGGTTTTTAAAAATATAAGGCTTATCTACATGTTTTATAATAATTTATAATTTTAGAATAATTTGGAAACTTAGTAACCTTTTGTGAAATTTGTATTATTTTTTTAAAGCCACATATTTTATGTTAGTTGCTACTATTCATAGATATCATCCACTTGTCCCCTGGAAAAGGTTAACTTCATCATTAGAGAGCAGTAGTATACCATGAAATAATAAAAACTATTTCATAAAAATTACTTTTTTCCAGTTACCATAATGGATTTTCTCTCACCACTTATGAAATGTTTCCGTACTATGACATATCACTAAAAGCTTAGCTTATACCTAAAGTGTAAACCTTAATAATATTCTGTGGGGGCATGGGGTACATGTCAAGTCAAACAAACGATGTACTTCCAAATAATTTGCAAAGGTTACTCTGAGTCTGGACTAAGAGGGGAGGGACAAGGGCAGTGTCCAATGATCTATCTAAAGACCCCTCTTCTTGATTTTTTTCCCTGGTTAATAAACCACCAGATAATGTTTTCAGTTAAAAATAAATTAATGAAATAATAATTAATGAGGAAATTTTTTAAAAGATTTATTTCTTTATGCATAAAGAACTAGGGTACAGGCCAGAGGTGCACGTGTGGTGAGAGGATTCACCAGAGACAGAGTGGGGAGCAAAACAGGCTGACTGATGAAGTACACTGCTCAAGGGATCAGCGGGTGGGTCAGGAGAGGTCTGCTGGGCCATGTGGAACACCTCTGGGCTGGGGATCGGACTCATGCTCAAATGGCTTTAGCTTCTTAGTGTTGTGCTTTAAACCCGCTGCACCAGCAGAGAGGGCCCTAATGAGGTGATTTTTAAGCTTCATGTGCTGAATTAGAAATTTATTAACATATGAAAATTTTTCTCCAGATTTGAGGATTTTCAGTAAATGTATTTTATATCTGAGAATAAAACTCACTTGCTTCTTCAACACTAATGAAAAGGATACCTGACCACTTAGTAATCTTCTGGGAGAACATTTAGGGGATCTTAGAGACAAAGGTCCCCTTCCATCCCAGAGAGCCTCTTAATACTCAAGGCCTTTGTGACCCTGGGACTTTCAGTGGTTCCCCCAAGAACACAGGTCTGTCTAGCTCAGGGCCTAACCCTCTTTTTCTCAAAACAGGGCTTCCACAGTACCACCTTGAGTGAGGATCAAAGGCGACAGCTGTGAAAGCCGCGAGGGTTGGGGGGGCCTCTTACCGATGGGGTGGGGCGGGTGTCCAAGGGTATTTTCGAACAGTATATCCAAGGACACAGTCCAGCCAAAAGATGATTTGGCTGGGTAGAGGTGAGAAAAAGAAAACGTACAGAAGAAAAAAAGCGCAGTTTCTTGGAGACTCAGGAACTGAGAGTGGGAAAGAGTGAAGGGGAGGGGGCGGTGTTCTAAAAAGCAAAGTCTGGAGTGGAAAAGCGACCACACTGCACCAAAGCAGTGGAGTAGAACAGCGGGCTGCATTTTTCCAGAGCTGTTTCAAAAGGAATCCTGGGGCAACTCTGCAGGGGGTGGGAGGGGTCGCCGCGGGACGGGGGCGGACACTCAACTGCCCCCAGTAGCCAGGGGTTGGGGCGGGGGTGGGGTGGGGAAGGCGCTCAAAACTGCAGGGCCAGGCAGCGGGTGCTCCCGACTGCAGGGCTCACGCCTCTCGGCGCTCCCCCATCCTCCCGGCTGTCCCCTCGCCGGCTGCTGACCTCCCAGAACCCGAGAGCTCTCGGCTAGGCTCCAGACCAAGCACGCCCGGCGCCCTCGCGCGCTCTGCCCGGGCGGCGCGTCACTGCGAGGCCGGCCCCCGCGCTCCCTCCTCCTCCTCCTCCCGGCCCTACGCGCTCCAGCTCCGGGAGGCGGGGAAGCAGCCGGAGCGCGACCGCCGCGGCAGCCACCCTGCAGCCGCCGGTCGGAGGCGCAATCCCTAGGCCTTGGCGCCCGGGCGCGCCCCTGGGGAGTCGGCGCGGAGTCCGCTGAGCTGCCAGGCTCGCCCCTGCCCGGCGCGGAGGGCGCGGAGGTGAGTGGGTCGGGGGGAGCGGAAACCAGGTAGCGGCGCCGGAGTTGCTGGTCAAGATGCAGCCACGCCGCGCGCGGCATCCATCCTCCCGGGCTCCCGCGCCCTCTGCGGACGTCCGCACTGAGCTCGCTGGGCTCCCGATTCCTGGCTTCCAGAGGTGGGGAGTGGAAAGGGTGTCAGTACCACCGATTCCGCCCTCAATGCTTCTTGGGCTGCCCCGAGCTTACACAGAGTCCCGAGATGGGCCCAGGGGAAAGGAGGCCAGGAGATCTCGACTTCGTCCCAGGTAGGATGCGCCCTGCAAGAGGACGGTCGGGTTACCTTAATCTCCTTGAGAGACGTCTAGCACTTTGGGTCCCTGCGGCGCCTTTTGTGGGAGATCTCGTAGCGCTGCTTTGCGAACAGGAAAGTATGCCTGATGGTCATTTGGTTTATTACCCTCTTAGTGACCGTCGTGTGTTTAGGCCATTATGAATTAAGGAAGTAATTTGTCTCTTCTTTGAATGCCCTAAATTATCCTTAAGCCCTGTGTTCAGCCTCAGCCAAAACTTGTTGAAAATTATGCCCTAAAAATCTTGCTCTTAAAATAGAGCAGAGAGATAAAGAGAATTTTTGTCGAGAGATTTCATTTATCCCCCACCCCTTGGAGAAGGAATGGTGTCATTTTTTGCTCCTCGGGCAGATCGTTTTTTTAGGTGGAAAAACTTATTCCAGGCCATGGCTAATTATCACTCATCATTATAGGTGAAATTTGGAGAAATAGAATCAAACTCCTGTTCCTATCCCTACCCTCTTGCCTGACCAGATCCTGGTCCTATTAACAGCTTCACTGTTCTCTCCCCAAGCCTCCTCACACACTTTCTCCGACATTGTTATTTCTTTGGGGTGTAGATCTGTTTTTTTCTTTTGCTAAGGCCATTTCCTTCACTCTGCTTCTCTCTTTGGTATTCAAAGTTTAAGAGCTATTATTACAAAAGAAAAATACTCATCCTAGACATTTTGCATGATATTTGGAAACATAATTGAAATGTCTACAGTCCCTTTTTCTTAGCTAAATTTTTTAGAGGTGGAAATGAGACAGTATTAATAATTATGAATTGAACTAATAGTGTAGAAATGAATTTTTCATCCAAGAGAGTCACTTTTTACTGTACTGGTGATGTGGAAATTCTATTTGTAATGAATGACCTTAATTATATATATATTTTTTAAAAGATTTATTTATTTATACAGAACTGGGGTACAGGCCAGAGATGCGGAGGATGAGAGGATTCACCAGGAGCAGAACAGGCAGATCCACGAAGCACACTGCTGAGGGGAGCAGCGGGTGGGTCAGGAGAGGTCTGCCACGCCATGTGGTCACCTCTGGGGCAGGCCGGAATCGAACTCATGAGGAAGTGGCTTAAGCTTCTTAGTGCAGTTCTTTAACCTGCTGGGCCACCAGGGAGGGCCCGACCTTAATTTTATTTTAATGCTGAAAATGTAGCACAGATGAAGACAACAAATGTGTAAACAAAGAATCATAAATGAGTTTAAAAAGTTAGAGGGTATGCCAAAGGTTTGAAGGACTAGCACTGCAGCTTCAGGAAGCCAGAACATCAGCTAATAACTATGACATTGACATAACAATGATATTGATATACTCCTTTGCACCCATTGGGTTTTGTCAGCAAAAAAAAAAGTTGAAGGAAGAGGGAATTTAACCTACAGATTTATTTCTTCTCTTTCGATTTTAACATTTTTCTTTAAAGATTTGTTTATTTACTTATACATACAGAACTGGGGTACAGGCCAGAGAGAAGTGCAGGGGCCGTGAGAGGATTCACCAGAGACAGTGGGGAGCAAAACAGGCAGAGCAACAAAGTACACTGCTGAGGAGAGCAGCGGGGGAGTCAGGAGAGGTCTGCCGTGCCATGTGGATAACCTCCGGGGTGGGGATCGAACTCATGCTGAAGTGGCTTTAGCTTCTTAGTGTTGTGCTTTAACCCACTGCGCCACCAAGGGGGGCCCTGATTCTAACATTTTGATGCACTCAATAACAATGATTATTTGCTATCTTATTTTATTTACTATGTGCCAGCATTGTGGAGGCTGTAAAACATAAGTACTGCCCTCACTTGGCTTATTGTGAGGTAGAGAAAGTAGTAATGAGTTAAAGAGCAATTATAAAGGAAACTTATATCTTTCTCCTGATGAAACATAATAGCATGTGCAAAGGTCCCAAGATAGGAAAGTCTTTTCTACTTCCTTAAAAAGGAGACTGTGGCTGGACCCTTAGGAGTAGAAACCAGAAAGTAGGATAAGGTTGGAGCCAGAAGCAGGGGCCAGCTAGTGTAGTCTGGACCTTTTAAGACAGGGTTAGGAAAGTGGCTGCAGTTCTGAATGCTAGGGGAAGCTTTTGGTTGTTGTTTTTAATATTTATTTATTTATGCATACAGAACTGGGTACAGGCCAGAGGTGCAGGGGTGGTAGAGGATTCACCAGAGATAGAATGGAGAGCAGAACAGGCAGATTGTCGAAGTACCCTTCTGAGGGATCAGCAGGTGGGTCATGAGAGGTCTGCCACCATGGAGGGTCCAGGAAGCTTTTGGTTTTAAAGAGGAAGGAGACATCATCAGATTCATGTTTCAGTAAGACCTTCTGTGCCATGTGGAAAATAGTTTGGGAAGGAACAAACAAGAAAGGAGAGAGACCTGTTGGAAAATGTGTGCAGAGCTCAGATGAAAGATGATGCAGACCTGAATTAGGCTGATGCCAATGAAGAAAGATTTAAGAAATATTTTGAAGAATAAGAATTGGTGCTGTATATTATGGCAAAGGTAAGGGGAAACAAGAATTGGAGAATGACTCCCAGATTCCTGACTTTGAGCAACTGGAGGGCAAATGGTACCATTTACTGAGGTGAGAATAGGATTGGGTGAAAAAAAGAGTTCTGTTTTGAACCTGTTAAGTTTAAGATGATTCTGAGGAGATCTGACGAGAGAAAGGTTGGTCTCCAGGACAAAAATAGATAGACCGTCCACCTTGATGGGTGAAATTAGGGTTAAGATAACACTAATGAGCTTTGTTGTCTGATTTTTCTTCAGCAAACTTCACTAACTTGGATACAGATCAGTGAAAATTGGTGGTCATCTTCTCTCAGAACTGAAATTTTGCCAGATGAATGTGATAGGTAGCAAGTGAGTTGACTTAGTCTGTTCATGCCATTATAACAGGACACCATAGACTGCCTGGGTTTAAACCACATCTATTTCTCATAGCTTTGGAGGCTGGGAAGTCTAAAATCAAGGTGTACCTGAGGGGGACCTACTTCTGTTCATAGAAAACTGGTTTTTCCCTGTGTCCTCAGCGTCGTGTGAGAGGAGAAAATTCTCTGAGGTCATTTTATAAGGGTTCTTACCCCACTTGTGGGAGTTTCTCCCTCATGACCTAATCACCTCCCAAATACCACATCTCTTAATACTTGATATTGGGGGCTAAGATTTTAACATACGGATTTGGGGAGTCGGAGACACAAACATTTAGGCCCTATCAAGAATGAAGATCTTTTTAAATACATGCACTGTGATATCTGCCGGATAAAGAGAAATGGGAAGGAAGTTGATGGAGAGTGAGAAGTAAGTGGGGTCAATGAATCAGATTTCTTCTGCTGTCTAGAATTATCAGTGTAAATACTTGACCTTGGTTATTAGAAATTTGGGAGGTTTAGAGATGTCAGGAAGTGACTGATTAAGATGGGGTAAAGGAAGCAAGAGGTCATGAGACCAAGTGATAAAGTATTGCAAAAGGATGACAGCTATTAGGATAGAAAGAAAGCTGTGTGTACTTGGGATCAAAGTCTCCAGTAATAGTAAAGAAACTAGTCGACGATGGCAGTGAAGATGGAGAGAGTGTTACAGTTATCATGAGCTTCAAGGGAGCAAGGTTTTTTCAAAAATGAAGAAGAAAGGTTTGGATATGGCCTTGCAAAGTTAAAAATTCACCTACCCCACCTCAGAGTCCTGAAAACTGACATTTCTTGATACCATGTCCACAGCAAGTTTTCAATGTCATCAAGATCCTGGAGAATAGCCCTAGCAGATTTATTATTATCCAGTAATTAGTGCCTTGTATGTTTATATACAAAACAAATTAGGTTCTTTTTTTAAAATTTAAAAAAAATATAGAGTAGTTTATTTTTATATCATTTTGCACCTTTTTTCATCTCAGCTATAATCCCCGTGGGAGGTTCTTTCTTTCTTTCTTTCTTTTAATTAAAAAAACACAGTAGCTGAAAAGCTGTGTATATTCGAACTCTTCTCTTCGAAGTGTACTTCAAATATTAAATGCATATATCAAGTCAAAATCCCCCTCATGAAAAGTGTGACTCTGACATTTCAAATGCTACTTAAATCACACTTTTAGACTGTGAAGTGTCCCAGTGTTCAATGTAAAGTAGTGATAATACCACTATTACATACCTTCAAGACTTGGGGTGTGGGGGGAATAATTTTTGTTTTGGAGAGGTCATCAGGAATAACGTACAACCTTTATTTTCCATCTGCCAAAGGAACCAGAGACTCCAGAAATAAGGCAATTTCAGAAACGTAGGCCTGTTCTCTCTCAACACCACATGAACAACACTTTCTAGAAATTACATTTGATTAACATCAAGAGAAAAAGCTAGAGAGAAACTAGGACCTTGTTAGTCAAATTTAGTCCATGAACTAGGACCCTGGGCATCCCCCTGGAAGTAGGCAGAAATTCAGATTCTCACTCTCCTTCCAGATGTAGAAAATCAGCATGTACGTTTTAACAGGATGCTCTTGTATGCGTAGAGTTTGACTGGCACTCTTCTCGAGCAAGTCAGTTCCCTTGGAAACTCCTGCTTGGGTCAGCAGGACCTGTGATGCCTGGAGAATTGAAGAGAGGAGCCCTTGTAAAACAGAAAGGAGAGAGTCTGCCATACAGACATTATAAATTTTGAATGTTGTGAAAGAACAGAAGCAAAGTGTGCTGTG